AAGACAGATGATTATCCGTAAGCACTTGAAAGGATGCTCCACATCCATAGACATCAAAAAAAGCAAATTGGAAACCACCACGGAATATTCCATCAGAACAGGTAATATAGGTAAGACTAACAACAACAAAAGCAGGAGAGAAGGTAGAAGTACCAGAACTCTCTTACATGACCGGTGGGAGTGTAAAATGATAGCATTCCTCAGAAAGCTGAGAGTTGTTTTTGTTTTTTTAGGGAAGTTAACTATCTATGTCCCCATCCTAGGATCCAACCATTCCACTCCAAGGTATTTATCTAAGAGGAGTGAAAGCATATGTTCACAAGAAGACTTATACAAAATATTTATAGTGGCTTTAAATACTCTCAAAAATATTGTGTTGAACAAAAGAAAACATACACAAAATCATACATACTGTTTGATTCCATTTGTAGGAAGTTCGAGAAAAGATAGAACCAGTATACAGAAAGAAATCAGAGGTTACCTGTGGTTCATGGGACTGGCTGGAAGAAGACAGGTGATGGAAATGTTGATTATATGAGTGTACATATTTGAAAACTCATCAAGTTGTACACTTGAGAGCTGCACTTCACTATAATTTTGCTTCAGGAAAATCAGTAAGAAGTATACTTAGCAACTCTTGTAATTATTCATTAGCGCAAATAATCAAGGATTGACCTCAGATGCATTTGGATTCTGGTAACTTATTCACAAACCAAGAACATTTCTAAACACCTAAATCTTTTTTAAGGCAAATTGCCTTTGAGGCAACTTTGTGTCCTTAAAAACTGTTGAATTACACAACGATATGCTTTTCTAAATAAGACCATGGAAATTCCCAGAGTCATTACAAATTAGCTTGAATATCTCAGGATATTCATCATGTGGGGACAAGGGGAATTCCAGAAGTTCTTTCTCCCACAGATTTCATTTTCATAAAAGCATCTTTCCTGGAATTTAGAAACACTGAAACTTCTCTGATCTGTATAAGAACAGGTGAAGAGCTTGGCTATAATCCTTTTCCCTGGAATGCCTTGCCAAGGGTGTTCCAGATAGCATCTGAAGAAATAGGAGGTACAAGAGCATGGGAAAGGTAGCCCTGAAACATTCCTTTTTCTTAATCTAACAAGAGTAAGTCTGGAATATTTTTAGCCCTCCTAGGTATCATAAAAAACAAAACAAAACAACAACAACACAACCAAAAAACAAAAACAAAACAACAAAACCCCAGCAGTACAACATCTGGGGGCAAAAAAAAAAAAAAAGAATCAAAACCACTGTCTATTCCGAAGTCTTGCACAGGAGTAACGAAGAATTCCGCATATGTGACTCAGCAAGATGTCTTTAAATACTTTTCCCCTATATTATCACTTACAAAACTTCTTCCCACACAGCATGGCAGCCACATCCATTCACTAGGTTTACTCACTAAAAATTCTGAATATTCTTCCTTGAAATTCAGCCAACAGGGGCTTTTCTCTTTCCAGATCCATTTCTTGCTTCTACCAGCGGCTCTGACTTTTTAAAAGAAATTGTTCTATGCTCTCAGTTCTACTCATTCTCCTGGCTCACCCCACAAATGGGCCTGGAAGCTCAGGAAACAAACACAAATTTTCTTTTCTTTTCTTTTCTTTTCTTTTCTTTTCTTTTCTTCTTTTCCTTCTCCTCTCCTCTCCTTTTCTTTCTTTTTGTTTTTTTTCCAGAATTTTCTTTAGAAGGTGGGTAGGGGAAGTTTCCTCTCTGTAATTTTTCAGTATTGGTCTAATTCTGGATTTAGATATCATTTTCTCTTCTGAGAGTAAAGTGTCTGTTTTCTATGGAGTGGAGGAAACTTTCAGATTACTAACTTGGCATTGGATGGTATCGGCAAATGCTCGGAGCTTGAAAAATGGGGCTCCGAGGACAGGAGTCCTACCTACTGTAGGCTCAGGCTCATAATATTCCTGTGGCCTTGCCTTTTAGCTCTTGTACCTTTTATGTGGGCAGAGGGGAAAAGAGACAGACAATGCCTATTATTAATCCTGAAAATCCCAAGGGCTTTGTCGTGTACTGAGAGGGAGTTAAATTAAGCTTTTCTGACACTGACAGTGTTTCACATCTTGTTTTGGAGTTTTGCTCTGAATGGTAATTTGAAAGACACAGGCAGGTTCCCAAGTGTTTCCCCTCTTTCTCACACTTCACCTTCATTCATCACTGCTCCTGCAACAGTCATGGGGCATCTTCCCTTGGGATATTTGCAGGTTTGTTGCCTCCGGGAATTTCCTGCTCAACTCAAGTGCAACCCCCCTTGGGTGCTTTTGGCTTCTTCAGCTGACATTAGCGACAGTAACTAGAGCCACCTTCCTCTGGACTGTATCACCAAACAGGTCTGGGGAGAAGGGTGAGTGAGGATGAGGAACCCTAGGACACTCTTCTCTTTTCACGGTTGTTTTGTTTGGTTTTTGTTTTCCCTCCAGTGGATTGGGAGGCTCAACGTCCCCATCTCACCGTGCCCCTGCTAGGCGGGGAAAGATTAGGTATTTGTAGTTCTCGTGTCGTGGAGGACAGGAATGACAACCAAGATGCACAGCAACAGATTTAGAAGTTCAAACCAGCTTTTCTGTCTCTCAGGCATCTGTTCTCTCAAGTATTAGGCCATCCCATCAACTATGCACCACTGTTCCCAGGAGGGCACCTCCGCAGCCTCTCTGCTTGGGTTTCAAATAAAAGCTGAGAAACTTGGTGAAATGAGGTACTTTCTTCCTGTAAGGGGTCCTGTCACACAGTGAGAAGGATAGGAGCGAGAGATGCAGACCAGGGGATCCTAATTGGATTTGGAATCCTGACACCCCCTTTATTTCACTTCTCCACATGCCCTCAGCTCTCTTCCCCCAATATAAAGCTACTCCTTTATCTTTTACCCTTTTGTTTTTGAAAGGGCAATAGTACTAAAATGAGTTCTCTGCTGATGTTTCTGTGTCCCTCAAGTGAACCAGAAATACTAACACCGTAGGTCATTAGATCTGAGAGAGTGACGTCTAAGGTGGATTCTCTGCAAACAGTGGGACTATGCTTATGTTGTCCATGGGCGTGGTTCTCAAATGTTACTGTGCATACAAGTCGCCTGGGGGTCTTATTAAAATGTACATTTGGATTCGGTAGGGCAAGCTTGAAGGCTAACGTGATTTCTGACAAACTCCCAGATGCTGTGGGTTCTGCACAGTACCGGTGTCTGCCACATCTCCCCTCTCCATCTGCCCCTTTCCAAAGGACCTACCTGTCCCCTGGTGGACAGGGAGCAGGACTCAGGTGCTAGTGATCCTGTTTACAATGCACTTTGTTTCCATGTGCCTTACTCAGTATCTAAGAGGATGCAGTGAAAACTTACTTGGCTGGAGGAAAGGTGGGTGGGTGAAAAACGGTTGTGGGCTAGGTGATTTGTTTTTCTTCTCTGATGTTGTTCAAAATGAAAGAGAACTCTTCTGGCCCTTGTGGCCAATGTGAGCAACATGAAAGACAAGGAAAATAAAGGGGATTCAAAAGGATGTGGACAGAGTCTGAGATAAGATTCTTTTCTCAGTGGGCGAATCAAGGTCAAGTGATGTTTACTCACAGCCCAGCCAGCACTGAGTAGAAGGCTTCAACTTTGTGCCTTCCTTTTCTCCACCAGAACAATTAACTAAGCACAGAAACTTCTAGATGATGATTTACTAGGCTTACATAAAGGACATAGGAGTACATCAAGAGCTTGGTGTACCTGATAAAGAAATAATCTGGTTCTTGAACTAAAGCCATTCATTTCCTCTGTCAGATCTAAGAAAAATCCCCAAAATTGTACCTAATGTCAAAGATAGTCTCCAACTTCCTTGGCAAACCCATCCAGCAGTTTGGGCCTTATAGAAAGCAAGTGTTTTGGTACAAAATAAAATACCATAGGACATGTTGAATATTCCTCTTAATAGGATCCTAGGATCTGAGAGCTGAGAGAGACCCTAAAGATTATTTAGGTCCATCCACACATTTTGTAGGTAAGGAAACTGAGGCTGTGTGTCATGCCTCAAGTTTTGGCAAGCCTGACAATAGAGCAGGACCCCTGATTCCTAGGTCAGTGCTTTCCCATCACGTAGAATCATAATCTTCAGGAACGACGGTGCTTTCCACCCAGTGGTGGAAGGTTCTTTCTTGTGAGAGGTAGAGCTACGTCTAAACTATCTGGGTCACTGGGAAGTGTTTGCGAAATGTTGTGGTTTAATTCAGATCATTATCTTTGAAGAAGTCAGAGAGCTCAGATCCTGCATTTTGGGCAATATATGTATATATATATATATATTAGTAACTATGATATCTGAGCCCTGCCTGTATGCTGCTTCTTTGTATAGATTACCTTTAAAGCTCACAACAACCCTGAAAGGTAGATATTGTCATCCCACTTTACACATAGGAGGAGATTGAGGTTCAGAGGGCTTAAGTAAATTGTCCAAACCACACAGCTCAAGGTGGTGGGACAGGAATCACAAGAAAGCCTAATATTGCAGCCCTCATTTCTGCCTTTTAAAAAAAAAAATCTCACTTTTACTTTCAGAAAACGCTATCAAATAACAAACTTAAATGTGTCAGGAAGAAACAAGAATGAAGAGGACAGAAGTGTAGAAAAAAGGTTTTCATTGACATGAGGTCACCACAAACACTCAGAGGACAATGCAGTTGGTTTCTCTGCAGGAGCAGGACTCAAAATATTGAAGAAGCAGGCTTGCAGGGTCAGGAACCAATGGGAAGAGACGCCATGAGATTCTGGAGGGTCCTGGAGTCCCTGCATGCCAGGGACTAACCCTTTACAGGCATAACTCGAAGATATTGCAGGTTCAGTTCCAGACCACTGCAATAAAAATATCACAGTAAAGCAAGTCCAGTGAAATTTTTGGTTTCCAAAAAAATTGTTTACACTATACTGTGGTCTACTAAGTATGCAATGGCATTACGTCTTTAAAAAACAATGTTTTTTACAACCCCTATGTTTATTGCAGCATTATCTACAATAGCCATGATACGGAAGCAGCCCAAGTGTCCATCGGCTGATGACATGGATGAAGAAAAGGGGGTGTATATACACAATGGAACATTAGTCAGCCATAAAAAAGAATGAAATCTTGCCATTTGCAACAACATGGATGGAGCTAGAGAGTATAATGCTAAGTGAAGTAAGTCGGTCAGAGAAAGACAAATACCATATGATTTCACTCATATGTGGACTAAGAAACAAAACAAACAAGCAAAGGGGAAAAGAGAGAGAGAGACAACCCAAGAGACAGACTCTTAACTCTAGCGACCAAACTGATGGTCACCAGAGGGGAAGGAGTAGGGGGATGGGGACACAGGTGATGAGGATGAAGGAGAGCACTTGTGATGAGCAGCGGGTGATGTATGGAAGTGTTGAATCACTACATTGTACACCTGGAACTAGTATTTTACTGTATGTGAACTAACTGGAATTTAAATAAAAACATAAAAAAAATAAAAAACAATGTACATACCTTAATTAAAAATACTTTATGGCTGAAACAATGTTAACCATCATCTGAGCTTTCAGCAAGTTGTAATCATCACAAATCACCATAACAAACATAATGACTAAGTTTGGAATATTGTGAGAATTACCAAAACATGGCACAGAGACACGAAGCGATCAGATGCTGTTGGAAAAATGACACCCACAGTGTTGCTCAACTCAGGGTTGCCACAAACCTTCAGTTTGTAAAAACAGTATCTGTGAGGTGGAATACAGTGAAGCGTGATGAAACCTGGAGTATTGTTGTTGCTGATGTATGGGTGGGGCAGGGGTAATGAGTTCGGATGGGTCATTTGAAAGGTCTGACCAATGAGCCTAGAAGTATTTCAGTTTTTAAACAACCAACATGCACCCCAATGTTTATAGCAGCAATGTCCGCAAGAGCCAAACTGTGGAAAGAGCCAAGATGTCCATCGACAGATGAATGGAAAAAGAAGATGTGGTCCATATATGCAATGGGATATTACTCAGTCATCAAAAAGAACGAAATCTTGCCATTTGCAACAACGTGAATGGAACTAGAGGGTATTATGCTAAGCAAAATAAGCCAGTCAGAGAAAGACAAATACCATATGATTTCACTCATATGTGGAATTTAAGAAACAAAACAGACGAACATAGGGGAAGGGAGGGAAAAATAAAACAAGATGAAATCAGAGTTGGAGACAAACCATAAGAGACTTAACTTTAGGAAACAAACTGAGGGTTGCTGGAGGGGAGGTGGTGGGGGAAGGGTAATTGGGTGATGGACATTAAGGAGGTGATGTAATGAGCACTGGGTGTTGTATGCAACTGATGAATCACTAAATTCTACCCCTGAAACTAATAATATACTAATGTTAACTAAATTGAATTTAAATAAATAATTAAAAAATAAACAACCAATATGACTAGGGCAGTGATTCTCCAGTCTTTTTATATCAGGACCCCTTTCACTCTTAAAAATTATTGAGGACCGCGGCGCCTGGGTGGCTCAGTTGATTAAGCGACTGCCTTCGGCTCAGGTCATGATCCTGGAGTCCCAGGATAGAGTCCCTCATCGGGCTCCCTGCTCGGCGGGGAGTCTGCTTCTCCCTCTGACCCTCCCCCCTCTCATGTGCTTGCTCTCTCTCATTCTCTCTCTCTCAAATAAATAAAATAAAATCTTAAAAAAAAAAAATTATTGAGGACCTAGAAGCTTTTGTTTTTGTGAGTTGTATCAATCATTATTTACCATATTAGAAATTAAAATGGAAAGTTTAAAAGTGCCTATTTATTTATTCATTTTAAAATAACAATAACAAGCCATCACACTAACAAACAATTTTTATAAAAAATGACTACATTTTCCAAAACAACAGCAACAGAAAGCAGTGGGAAGAGTGGTATTGTTTTACATTTTTGCAACCTTTTAAACTGTCTGGCTTAATAGAAGGTGGATTCTCACATTTGTTTCTGCATTCAAGCTACTGCAATATGTTGTTTTGATTGAAGTATATGAAGAAAATCCTAGCCTCTTACTGTTATAAAATGGAAAAGTATTTTATTTTATTTATTTATTTATTTATTTTAGATTTTATTTATTTATTTGACAGAGAGAGAGAGAGACACAGCGAGAGAGGGAACACCAGCAGGGGGCGTGGGAGAGGGAGAAGCAGGCTTTCCGCTGAGCAGGGAGCCCGATGCAGGGCCCGATGCGGGGCCCGATCCCAGGACCCTGGGATCATGACCTGAGCCGAAGGCAGACGCTTAACGATTGAGCCACCCAGGCCCCCCTGGAAAAGTATTTTAATAGCCTTTTCAGGTAACGATGGATATTCTTTGTTACTAACTCAACAGGGGGTAGTTTCTTCATTGTTAGCTGCAGATCAGTGAGCTATTAGACTAAAATCCATGGGTCTGTCTTAAACTTTGAACTTTGTGCCCATACCTGATTTTGTAGTACCATGCATCAGTCATTTGGGAAAAAATGGTTCACTGAGTTACATAGATCTTCTAAATATCAACACATTCATTATTCAATAACAAAAATTTAGATTTGTTAATGTCACCTCTCTGATCTCATTAGAAAAATCTTTAAGTATTAGAAAGTGGTCAAGGTCACAGTGATGATACAAATTCTAATTTTGCTCAAATTTGATCATTTTATCCAAATTTATCATGTGTCATTATCAAACCTCAAAAGTTATCACAATAAATACTATGAATTGTTTTCCTGGAAGTGACAGGCTTATTTATTCAATTTCAAGAAATGTCTGCAGACTATCTACTTTGAGAACCTCTGTACTAGGTTATTATGTACTGAATATTAGTTACATTTCTCAGCTTCTAGAATATCACATCCTTCTGCATTTGCTGGAAATGGCACAGGATTAGAACGTGTTCCAAGATTCAGGTATGGCAGGTTATTTTTTTTAATCTCTTATGTTTTATTATGTGTTTGGTTCAGCTGACTTGTCTATAATATATGTGGATTATATATAAATACAACTCTGGCTCTTTTAAAGAGATCTGTGCTCCCAGACATGGTAGCAGAGTAGCATGGAATTCTGGCTCCCTCATGCAAACCCAACCTGGAGGGTCACAGAAGAAAAAGGGCTGTTAAGAGATCTGAGGAACTGGCACAAACACGATGGAGAGTGGCTGGATCTTTCTGTTTGTTTGTGTATTAGGAGGTGTGAGGCAGCCAAGATTGGGGGCGTAGGAAGCCACCTTTGGGGGTCAGAGATTTTAATTGTCCTTTTCTCTCCCATATGCTTCCTTCTCTATCACCTCTGTAAGTCAGAAAATCAGCAGCCAGCTACCTCTAGCAGTGGGGAGTGGGCTTACCCCAGGGCAACATTAAGCAAGGCTGAGTGGAAAGAGGGCAGCGATAGCCACAGGGGACTGGCTGGTCCCTGGGCAGTCTCTCTTCCTGCTCTTTGCCTTTGAGGCTAGGTGATTACCACGGAGAAAGACAGCTCTTGGAGAAGAGCAGTGCACTTGTCTTCAGAGAGGTTGCCTGAAGGTGAGGGTAGTGGTGTGGCCAATAGGGGAGAGGGAGGCAATGGACCTCTCTGGCCTGAAGGTTTGCCCCCTTCAAGTCCCAAACTCACCGGCTGGCCATGTCTGGGGCCCAGCCTTTGCCTCTTCTCCTAGGACATTTGGGTTGATATCCCCAGGAACAGTGATCTCAAAGGGGAAAATAACAAAACAAATGAGGAATGCCACCATTAAGAAAGAAAGAACAGCAAACTGAGAAGCCTATACTTGCCAAAGCAGAATCAATAGGGCAGAAAAAAAAAATTTTTTTAATATCCTAAAAGGGATGAGGGAGAATTTGGAAAACATGAGGCAAGAATAAGAACATCTAGAGACTGGTTAAAATAACTGAAAATAAAGGACCTAACAGATGGCTTGAATATAAATATAGCAGAAACATGAATTAGATATTTGGCAGACCCAGATAGAGAAACTCAAAAAGTTGACAATTTTATTAGTTTTTGTTTTGTGTATTTTGAAGCCATGTTATTGGTGTGTTGAACTTTTTTACTACTAACCAACCTTTGGATTTCTATTAAATCTTTTTAACTGCGGAGTTTGGTCCATTTACATTGATTATAACTACTAATGCATTTGGACTGATGCTACCAGCTTACTCTGTTCTAATGTTGTACTTCAAAAAGAAAGGTAGGGCGCCCGGGTGGCTCAGTCGTTAAGCGTCTGCCTTCGGCTCAGGTCATGATCCCAGGGTCCTGGGATCAAGCCCCGCATCGGGCTCCCTGCTCAGGGGGAAGCCTGCTTCTCCCTCTCCCACTCCCCCTGCTTGTGTTCCTGCTCTTGCTCGCTCTCTGTCAAATAAATAAATAAAATCTTAAAAAAAAAAAAAAAAACCAAAACAAAAAGAAAGGTAATGAGTCTCTAGCACTAGGTGTTATACGAAGACAATGAATCGTGGATCACCACATCAAAAACTAATGATGTATTGTATGGTGACTAATATAACATAATAAAATAAAATTAAATTAAATTAAAAAAAATAAATAAAGGTAATGAGCCCAGAGGGAACGTATAAGTTGCAAGAAGAGATGGTGAGTAAGGTAAAGGTAAACTTGTGAGTGAATCTAAACCAATATTGACTGCATAAAATAAACAAAATGTCTATTTTATAGGGCTAGAAGACATCAAGATGGAATTAAAATCTTGGAAGTCAGGAAGCTGAGTGGAGTTAAAGCATTCAAAGGTTACTTATTATTTGGGAGGAAGGTTATGTTATTGATTAAATTTGGACTTTGTAATATCTCGGTTCATGGCAAAATTTTGAAAATGATATCTAAAACGATAGAGTCAAGTGAATACCTTACAGAGTAGTAAAGAAAAAACAATGGAATTGACTAAAAACTCCTGTAAGTCAAAAGAAGGGAGGAAAAATGCATAGAAAGAGAAGATCAGGACAAAGAAAATAAGATAGTGGGAATAAATCCAAATGTATCAGCAATGAGAACCAATGTAAATGGACTAACAATGCAATTAAAGAAAAAGGAATTTTTAAAAATAAACTTATATGATGTTTGTTTATAAGAGACATGCTTCAAGCATAAGAGCTCTGAAAGTTTGGAACTAAAAGAATGTACAATCACAACCCAAAAGAAAGGACAATCACAATCCAAAAGAATTACATTAATTAATATCAGACTTTGAGGCAAAAGTGTTAATAGAAATCCAGAACCTTGGTAAAAAAGTTCAATCGAACAGGAAAATATAATACTTCACTTGGATGCACCCAAAAACATTGCTTCAAAATATACAAAGCAAGCATCAAAAAACAAAAATTCTTTACTCATATGTAACATAGCTTTAAAGTATATAAGGCAAATATTGACAGAACATGAACGAATTTACTAGTCCACCATCATGAGAGATTTATTAAAGCCTTCCTTTGTGATTAGCAGATCAAGCAGACAAAGGAGAGTGGCCGGTGCAGTCAACAGAAATGAGTGTCAGTAGGGTAAGAAATGTGACCATCTTATAGAAGAGAGATTTTTGTCCTCATTTTAAAATGTCAGGTATTGAGCACGATGACTTTGAGTTGAGAGCTCGCTGTCCTATTTGGGTCTACCCCTTAAGTGTCGAGGGAAAGCAAGTCAGCTCTGGGTGTCAGAGACCTGAGTCTTCTTCCCATTCCACTGACTGCTCACTCTGTCCCCCTCTCACCTCAGATGCTCTGTCTGGAAGAGGGAGTGGGAAGAATTCCTCCCAGATCCCTGGTCAAATTTCACAGTGCTTTAAGCTCATCTGCCTCCAGTGGGAGACTAGAAGGAGGACATTGGAACCAGAGGCTATCTGTGATAGTTGGTGAAGTTTATGAGAATTTGGGGATCCTTGGGTTGGGCTTTACTAGCTGGAAAATTATAATGTTATCTTTTGGCACACAGATTTTTTTTTTTTAAGTTTACCCAAGATTTTCATAACATCCCTTTGAAAGGAATGGCATCTCACTCATAGATAGGGAAACACAGGTTAAGAGTGAATAGCATGTGCGGAGTGAAATAGAAATCAGAAGATTCGGTGCTACTTCTGCATTCCTACTACTGCCCAACCTTAGCCACACTGAGAGTTTGTCCACATGAAGTATTAGCTTGATCGCCCCTTCTCACTTATTCTTTATTTGTCCCCTTATTTCTGAACTTCCTCAACTTTCTTTCTGTATCTCACCATTTCCCCATCATGTCCCCTTTAAGGCATCATAGGCTCTTCCTTCTGTCTTTCCACGTAAACCACATTCCTGGTCTCGCTAAGGCCAACATGGTGTGCCTCGGATCACTTCCTCTCTGCTGCCTCTGGAGTGGTGCCCCATCAGCTGCCCCCCTCTGGCATCCCCAGTCTCACCACCACCTCCTCAGCCTGGAAGCATCCCAGGTACTTACAGCCGCCCCAGCAGTCAATCTTCATTTCCTTCCCTCGGGATTCAGTATCTCATGGGAGTCCTGCACCTCATGGTTCCTACATCCTCCCTTCCCGCTCACTCCATAACTGTTCAGTGTGCCTTTGGCTTGCACTGGAATGATGTTTTTTTCAGTGACGCTTGTTCGCCTCAAAGTTTGGTTCCTTTAACTCTGGTTCCTCTAGCATCTGGTTCCTTTAGCTCTTACTCCTTGAAACTTCATTCACGGTATCGTAAAACATCATGACCCCCTTATTCTGTGTCTCCTTGGCTTTCTTTCCCTGAATGCTCACTTTACGCTTGTTTTATACATCCTCTGACCCGAGTTTTTCCTATTATGGATATCTTAGTGTGTATATTTGTCACCACTAATAACCAATATGGATACTTGATTATTAACTAAAGTTTATACTTTACTCAGATACCCTCAGTTTTCCCCTACTGTTCTTATCCTATTCCAGGGTCCTATCCAGGATTCCAAATTTAACTGAGTTGTCATGTCCCTTCAAGCTCCTCTTGGCTATGAGGATTACATGACAGTTTCCCAGTTTCCTTGTTTTCGATGACTTTGACAG